AGTTCAAATGACTCTTCGCATCTCACATATGCTTTCGCTTTCAGAACTTCTGCAAGCTTACAGTCTTTAAAACCTTCTTAGACTGGGATTTTTCCTAAAAATGGGTAGTCTGCTAGGCTAACCTGCAGCTGTGTAAGTGCATCCGCTACAATACCAGATTGAAGATGCAGTAACTGGGGACAAACAACCCCAGGTGATGGTCTATGATAACAATTCTTTATATCAAGTTGGAAAAAATAGACTGGGAATCACTTGAAAAGTCTAGCATTAAAGGAGTTGTAGAAAGAAAGGACTTCCTTTTAGAAATTATATGAAAGCTCTGAAGTGTTGTGAGCCACTGTAACTATAATGCTTGCTACATTGGAATGCAGTATTATAACTAAAGGTCACTGTGTGCAGCAACTGTTATTTATTGTTCTCTCCTTTAAAATTGCTTTTCTTTTCAGACTTAGAGAAAAATTAATAACCTTCTGCGCTTCTCCATGCAGCCAGTTACACACTCAAGCTAATTATAGGTCATATTAATTTGGCCTGCCATACATGCAAAGTCTGGAGGTGTCCAACTTTTCTGTCACAGATCTTTCTGGCATAAAAAAAAAAAGAAGACATTAGCCAACTGTCTGCAATTAGTAGGTATCTGGACAAAGTGGACACATGGTGTGTGTTGTTACTTCACATTAATGCACCTCGTAGGCATTCATGATCAGTAGCGCATATTTCTATCTGGGAAATCTCAGAACAGAAGTTTTTCACATGATGGGTGTCCTTTGCAGTATACACATGATGAGCTATTTGTTATAATCCATGTAGAGTATACAGCACAACATTAGTATGGCTGATTAGCTGAAAAAACTGTTTTCCCATAGTATATTACTGTAACCCGATGCAGAAGGAAGAAAACCATTTAAAAGGTGTGCACTTGCTGTATTTCATGAAATAAATGAGGTGTAAGAGATAATGTTACATAATGAGTTTTCAAAATACAGTGTACACTGTAGGAAAAAGCAGTAACACAAGAATCAGAAATCAAAAATCTCATTGCTGTGTAGACTCCACCGTGGTCAAACCAAACACAGCAGTCTCACACATAATGATCTGAAATAAGGTATAAACGCACTTAACTGTTTAAATTCAAATAACTGCATTTGCAGAATACTTAAAGATGAGTACTTTTATAAGTTTTCCATAATACAGATTCAGTCTTGTTGAGACATATGTATATATTTTTCCATCTAGACAAAGTTCCACTGATTTCAGTAGAACCATAAATGGCTGTAGGGAGTTCTACTGATCTGAAAGAACATCTGGTTCTTACTGGAGGACCACTTGCCTAATATCAGCTTAATAAAACTATATATATGAAGCATACATGTATATATATACATAAAAGTATGCATGCATACTTACACGTATATATCTAATGCTACTGAAGCACGCTTCTTTTATTAAAAAAAATTCAGTGAATGGTAAAAATTTTGGACCACATTTTAAGGTTAGGTTGCAATTTGGCAAAACTCTCCATGGCAAACAGAATGTGCTCTTTCCACACAAAAGTTACCACACATTCTTGTTGCTTGAAACTGAGGATCCAATGAGAAATTTTAGACTGTCCTCTAAAATGTAATTCTTGTTTAGGGAGTGTTGTCAACATCAGTTTTTAAAGACTAAATAAAATTAGAGTGTTCTTTCAATAATGTGCTCTGCTAGTTTGCAAATTTCAATTGAAATTTCTTCATGTGGTTTTGTGATCTCCAATTATGCATCGGTCCTTTCAAACAAACTTGATTCCCAGAAAATCCACATTTCTTAATAATCACTCATTACTTTGTCCATGAGCATGGGTTTTAGGAAAATGCCAATTGTCCCTGTTTTGACATCCAGAACTCTCTCACTCTTTCAGAATGAGGTCTCTGTCTAGCAAACTTACTACACACCGTAAGCATATAACTGCTTAAAATGGGTGGATATTCTAAAAATTGTAATCTAACAAAAATGTGAGAATTTTCATTAAACGTTTGCCTATTACCTACCAGATATGTGAAGAAAATATGACGGAAATACTATCATTTTTTCTCCAAATGCTTCCTGTGATCATACATCCACAGCATGTACACGATTATCAATCAGAATTGTGTCGTCAAGTGGTGGAGCTCACCATTACACGTGAAGAAAATTTTCCTAAAAATAGCGTTGTACAACCAAATACCTCCAATATAGTTTAAGAATACTACTGGTTTGCAGTAGGAAAATAAATTCACATTAAAAGTCTGTGATTTGCTGGAGGAGATATAATGTGTTGATAACTTTCAACTAAAGACAAGTAACCTTTTGGTTTTTATTCTGGCTATTCAGCTTTGAACTGACAGTGTAAGTTACATTAAATCTAGAGACAGATCCAAATGAATGCAAGTTGATCAGAGAAACTGCAGCTTCGAGTTAGTTAAAACCTATGATGAAGTATCCAAAAGGTGATTCAGGTAGAGCAGGTAAGAAACACATCAGCCATCAGATCTTCTCAGCTCCATTCTTTCACCTGTGGGTTTCACAGAGATTTGGCCATCTCAAGCAAGTAACACTTTCTGGAGGCTGAATGGGCCATTGTAGAAAATGGATGAAGCATAAATTATTACTTCCTGCAATGCTAGTCCAATGATTTAAAATATATTTCCCCGTATTAAAAAAACAGATTTTTTTATCACTAATAACTCACGTAATTTTTCTCTTGATCAGGTGTAAGGCTTGTAAGACATTCTCTGACTCTTTAGAATTCTAGGTAAAACAATAGTAATGATTTATATAAGTAAACGTGCATGTGAATGAAACACTGAGGTGTTGTACAGCCCATTTTGTTCTAACATACTGATGATTCTTGTTACTTCTAAAATTGTTCTGTAACTACTTTTAAATTTAAAAGTTATGAATAGAATTCATCTGTAAGATAAGAAAAGAATGTGGCCACAAAAACAATTTTATTCTACAATTAGCTTACAAACCTCTGACTTTTTTTTTCGTTCCAGGAGTATGCTCTTCCTGAAGTCTTCACTCCATATTTAATAATTTTTCATGCGTACTTAATCAATCATATATTTAAATGAACTGTAACCATCAACATGAATTTTGCTAGGACAAAAAAGGGGAGGCAAATTTGCATATTGTTAGCAGTATGGAGTGAGTAGGATGACAGTGAGTGATGAAAGAGTATATCAGTGTGGGGGATGATTCAGACCTCTTAAAATTTGTAGAGTAACAAAGAATGAGTTATCTTTGGTTGTCATCTCAACTCATTACAAATAGATATTTTACACTTTCTGATAACTTTTTTTTCTTTGTGTCTGCATTGAAACAGAATAAAACTGAAAAGAAAATATTAGGTTATATTCTCGTCTTAGCTGTGAATGAGTTCCACATTAAGATTTCTCCCTTCCTTCACCAAGCTTATTTGTGTACAAGAGTAATGGCAAAAGCAGTAATACACCTCAGGCGAAAGAGCCTGTGTGTCTATCAGTGTTTGGGTGACTGGCTTAGAGAAGGTTCATTGGAACAACGTGCCCTGGAGCAAATGAAAATACCATTCATATATGCCAATTTGGAACTCACTGTGCAGTAGACAAAGTAGTGAATAAATCCAGCACTGGAGTGCATACACACTCCCAGACTTGAGTTATTCAGAACATTTTCAATAAATTAGAATTTGTAGAAACAAATGCATTCCATGCTGATGAATAAGTTTTCATGAAGATCTGGTGGAGAAAGTTTGGGTATACATGATTCGCTAAATGGGACTAAAGAAGGAGAACTACTAACAATCTCCTTTTTTGTCTCCCTTTTTTTTACCCATCAAAACCAGACACTTGAATTAACATTTCAAGTTTTTATTTTTACATCACAGGCAATGATGACAGGAGTTAAAACTTTCATGAAAATAACTGCTCTTCTCCAGGCATCAGTCATGTACAATCCCATTATGGATTGCCTAAAAAAAGTGATTTTTCGCATCACTCATATTTCAAAGCTCTGCAAAAAACAAGGGAGTTCAAAGTACACCTATATTGTCAGGTTATTTTGAAGTGTGCTGCTGAGAGCTAGTGACCAGCATTAAAAGTATTTGGATCCAGTACTAACATCTTATTATTGCTGCTGTAAAAGAGGTAACCCAGTTGGAAGGTATCAGATTAAAAAATCAAGAACTTGTTGCCAATAAGAGCAGAGCAGAACAACAGATAATTTCTATGATACAAGCCATTTCTTCACCCTTCCTACATTTGTCATGCCCTCATGACGAATATCTATCAAGCTATCTGTCTAGTCTATAGGATCTGCCTTTATTCACAATATAAGCACTCTTGCTCCTCTTTACCCACATAACTGCAACTACAAAGAAAAGCCCTCAGGGGATTACAGCTTCTTAAAGCAAATTTGTCAGTTTTAATTCAGGTTAGGTGCTCACATAACACAAACAATCAGGAAGGAACCCAATCAGTTCCTTTCAGATGCTGATGGTTCACACATAGTAATTTGTTTGGGCATACACACTTAACATTTATATGGATTCATTCTATAGACACATAATACATGTAATGAGATGGTCATCTATAAATATACATACAGATGTGTATCCCAGTATATATATATCTGTTTATTTATTAAATAACATACTCTTATATCTCTCAAATAGATGACGTAGACAGTTCTCAATAAACAAGCTGATAAAATTCGTGTATGATGGAGAACTGCAAAGATTTTTGTTGAAGTGTGAGCGCACTATGTATGCCTATGTATATACGTGTACACCCATATACACTTGCATACACTTAATGTACGTATGCATCATATATGTGTAACAGCATACAAATCCATATATAGCATTTGAGTAAGGATGTGACAAACATTAGACACATTGCATAAGTACTTATCTGGGAATAACCTTTGGTTTGGCCTCTCAAAGCGTTTCCTTTTCTAATCTACACACTTCATATCTGGAGCACGTGGAAGCATCTTACCTTGCTTCCATTTTCTCTTGCCTCCCGTTCCATCTTGAGATCAGAAATTAGGAGAGTCTTGTATTTGTTCTTTCCATTACTGCTGTGATCATCTAGTCTGTATTCTGAAGTCAGCTGAGCAGAGAGGGGACTGTCACTCAGGTTCAGAGGCTGCTCATCCTGCTCCAGATTTGTTTTGCCATTACTGTTGGTTTCTGCCATCTCCCTGCAGTGTGTTCCCCCTGAAGCATTGGAACTGTGTCCCACGGTCTCATTGCCATTAAAACTCTCTGCAGCTGAATCATCTATTAAAAAATATATATTTTCAGTCACATGCCACATCATCATTTTTGTCCAGTTCAAACATAATTTATATTTTCACAATGTTTTTCAAAGTAGAGTTAAAAAGGTTTATGTTACTTAATCTCAGTACATTTCTGCAAAATGTGTGTGCACACCCCTCCATTTATTCAAATAAAAACTTTGTGTAAATCAACAAAATATTGCTAAGTTGAGGGAAATGATCCAGGCTGACACCTTAGTGTCACTGTGTACACAAAAGCTAACCATCACACTGGATTTTTAGGGACAAAGTGACAAAATCTGTCTTAAACAATCTGTCTGTCCATATGTCTGTGGATCTATTTATTCTTATATCGTATTTGTTGCTGCAGTCTTGCGTATTTCTGAGGTTAACAGAGATGCACATGGTATTGAGAGAGAATGTAAGTCTGAGGTTTTAAAGGTGCAGAGCAGCATATGTCATATTCATAAACATCCTCTTACACAGATACAATGTAAATATATCCAATGTATTCACTGCTGGCAATAGAGATTACATTGAGAAAGTCGACTCCAGAAGCAAAATATCCCCTCTTTGTTTCGTTCACTTGCTCATCTCTTTTGCTCATTTTTTGTGTTACAATACATTTTAAAACACCACTTAATAAATGATTAAATTATCAACCTGGAAGTTACATCTGGAGACTCGGGATGTGGTGGTGTTGGCCCCTATATTTTACAGCTGAAAAGTCAGGTTAACATATATTTTGGCATGCTTCTGTGTTTGTATATCCTGTGTTTGTCAGCACTGGGATTTGCCACCTGTTCTACTTTCTCAGCCACTGTTCACTCTGAAGCAGTCCTTTGGCTATCTAATAAACAATTTATCCTTCAGTAGATGAATTTGGACCTCAATTTGCTTACTTGCTCTACCAAGCACCTTACAGCAATTTATGTAGTTTAGCTCATGGTGCAAAGCCCAGCCCAGAGTCCTACAAGTCTGTGTATACCATAGGTAGTAAAGCTGGAATCAAAACTGAGGAGTTAGCCACCTGGAATTCACACAGATCAAAACTGGAGACGTGAGATGAAATGGACCTTTATATGACATCTGCTATCAAGGCTCTCCTAATCATTTTCCATTGAAAGAAACAAACATGTTCATACACATATGGTATTTAAAGACACCACAATGCATACTTTAAAGGATGTGCTCAGAAACATTCACACTTCAAGCTACACAATTGATCAAACTGTTGTCTATCAATAGTTAACACAGTAAAAAACAAGTATTCCGACCCTCAGATTAGAATTTTGAAAGTGAAGAAAATTGCAATACAAATTAGTAATGATCTAGTTCACTTAAGTTCTTAAAGAGCCACAGGCAAGACATCATACATCAGCATTTTGCTTGCTGCACGCATCCAACACTACTGTGTCAAAGTATGTAAGACTTGGCTCCCATTGTGAAGATTTTTTGGTTTCTAAACCTGTAAAAAAATCTATTTTCATGAAAATACATAATAAAAATGACATTTTAAATGCTTTTACTTAAGGAGCAGATTCAACTTTTACAGAATGCTTTATATTTAATGGCTGCAATGAAAAAAACAAAAAGCAAGATATGTTTCAGTTTATAACATTTTTACATTACCTCTCTTGTAAATATAAATGTATACAGACTAAAAGATACACGCTGTTCCTGGAAGCAGATTTTTAAATATATACAACTTGCATTTTAGGCACCATCTCACTGTGACATTCTTATTTAAAAACCTGGGGCTAATTGAAGATTGAAGTGACATAATTTTGAGGTCAACACAATGTATCTCTAACCATTCCTTGTGATTTGTGACTTACAGGACCTTAACAATAACACATAATAATAATAATAATAATTTTAAAAGATTAAAATTCCAAATAAAGTTTCATAAATAATTACACTTTTACATGAATTGCATAATTCAAAACTAGGAAATGGTACTTGAAAAGGGAGATTTTTTTTTTTTTAAAGAAAACAGCTACATTATCTATTCATTTTAAAAGCTCTGAAATATAAAAAAGAAATTCAATTTAATTAAAAGAGAAACACTTTTGCTAGGGCTGATTTGCATTTATACTGTTATTTGATGATTGCCTTCTTGATTATCGGTTTAACAAGTGACAGATAGATTCAAATTAATTAAATCAATCAGCAGCAAGTGGTGGAGGCTCCTCCCTTTTAAGAGTTCAGGATATTATCTGTGGTTAGGAGCAAAGAGAGAAACAATTCAGTTACCAGAGAATGCACAGCTAAAAGCTGAGGCCAATGCTTCCCCTGCAGCACCTAAATCTGATTCTTGGGAAGACACTGTGTCCTGGCAGCTGAGAATCTTGTGCAGAGGAGCCAGATGGCTAAATGGGAGTGATGGAGTAGGAAAGGAGGTGTGTCCAGAGCCAGATCCAGGAACGGCTAAAGTTCAAAGCAAGGCTTTTACTTTGGGCTTGGAGTCATTGACTTGGTTTTAATTCTCTCTTCCTTTTCTTTCGTGGGGTTTTTTTTTTTCCTGTATGATGAATGATTGATAACTAAAACTTGCACGTCTGCCTGTTACAGTGTGAAAGAAAAAAATTAAACATCTTTTCTGCTTATTCTGAAATACAACCATTGAAAAATTCCTATAAAATACCTACGCTGAATAAATGTCATCAAGCATTATGTTATTTTGAAGCAATAATACATGCACATTGGCTTTGCCTAGCAAAAGCTTTGTTACTTGATGGTATATCTCAGTTCTACTTTAAAGTCAAATACCATCTTTTACAGTCATTTAACCTTGCTCATTAGAAACAGTTTCCCGATTGTCAGTTAGGAAAAGTGTTCAGGAGAACAGCTGCAATGACCATAAAGCACACTTTTGCCAAGTAAAAATAAATACGTGTTGCCATAAGAGAAATAAAAATAAAAACATAAAAAATACAGGTTTAGCACTGGTAGTTTCTTACAGATGTTACCGAGGTAACTAAATTACAAGGTTTCATGCATTTCTCATTCTGGGCAGGTGGTCTGCTCATGCCAAGAACAAGGCTATTTTAAAGCTGGAGCTACCCAGTGCCTGAGGCACAGAAACACAGACTGTGTGAGTAACTGGTTTGAGGAAAAAAAGGCTCCTGTTTCATGAAGGACACCACTAAAGGTGGGCCACAAAGGCAGAGGCCCAGCCCCTGGGTTGCAGAGAAATGTAAGCAAGGAACTTGGTGGGACCTGGGATTCATTGGCAGCATGGTGGCAGCTGGGGTTGGCCTGGGCGTGACATTCATCACAGCCAATTCATGTGTAGGCAATGGTTGCACCACTGATGCAAGGACAGTGTGTTTTTGCAATATGCCTCTTGCCATAACCATGGCTTGTGAAGGTTTATGGGAAGACCTCCAAGAAAGCACCCTGCAGCTGCAGGTACCACAAGCTGAAAGAAAAGGGGCAGATAGCTTCCTTACCTGTATCATGTGCCAGGACAGTCACAAAAGAGGAACTGAGAAGAGTTCATAGAATCATAGAATCATAAATTGCCTGGGTTGAAAAGGATATCAAAGATCATCTAGTTTAAACCCCCCTTCTACATGCAGGGTCACCAACCACCAGATGAAGCTGCCCAGAGCCACATCCAGCCTGGCCTTGAATGCCATCCACAACCTCCTTGGGCAGCCTGTTCCAGTGTGTAACCACCCTCTGTGTGAAAAACTTCTTCCTAATACCTAACCTAATCCTCCTGTCTCAGTTTAGAACCATTCCCCCTTGTCCTATCACTATCCACCCTTGTAAACATTTGTTCCCCCTCCAGCCATTCACATCTTCAATTCCTCCCCAGGTCACCGCTGTCCAGAGACATCAGCCATGATAGTGAATGATGGCCTCATCAGACAATGCTGCTTCCTCAGTGCAAGCCACGTCTTTAGGAACTGTCACTTTGAACCCTTACCCCACACACTGGAAGGATGGAAGTATATCTACATTTTCTGTTGCATAAGCCAGAAAAGAGAGAATCTGACTGCAAAACAGGTATGTATTTTGCTTCTCAGAAATGCCTACACAGATATACCCTTTGAGGGATTAAGGAGTATAACCCCCCGCAGAGAAAAGCTTGTTGTTTGAATGGGACAGCATTCTGCCTTCTGCTGAACCAAGGAGCACAGCCCAAACTGAAAAAAATGGCAGGAAAGGAAGCCCAACCAACACACAAAAACAGGTACTCTAAATAGTTGCTTTTTTTTTCAGAACAGTTGCATCCTTCACTTCAGTTATCTACTACATGACCTAATTATTTGCCAAAAATCAGTTTCTCTGTATTTTACACATCACACTGTGCAAGTGATTTCCATGACAGTTCACAATCTAAGGACACTGACTTAGAGCAGGAAGTCAGGTATTAATTTAAAGGATTACCTTTTCCTACCAACAGCATCTATGTTTTCGAATGGGCCAAAAAGCACATTTTTTTTAGAGTAAAAATTCTTCTCTACAAGTTAAAATGGAGCTCTTCCACTCAGAGAGAATTGTCCTCAGATCAGATAAGTCAAATCCTCGACACTGTTCACAGTAAGGGCTCTCTTAAAGGGAAACAAGTTGAAGTGTGCATGAAATTTGACTTGAATAACAAGTCCCTCAAACACTACTTTTCTCAGAGCACAAATTTTAGATGTAAAACTGATATAAGCATCACTGATTTACTGTGAACCTTGAACTAAGGTACATATACACGATTCTTGCTTATCTCCTTGTAAGAAAAAAATCTTCAGATGTTTTAAAGGATCTCTTGCATTATTGTTAGCAAACAATTTCATACTATATATCACTCAGGCTTCTCGTCTTCCTTGCAGATAATTCAGGGAGGGAGTCAACAAACCCTTCCACACAAAGGTAGATCTCTGAATAATTTGTCTCCTTTTCTCAAATTACTTGTCAAGCTAGAATTCAATTAATATTCAGAGCATGCTTAACTAGTTTTTCTAGTTGAAAATTGTATGAAAATTACTTGAAACTAAC